TCTTTTTTTTCTTTTGGCTGGCTAGCCTTCGAGGCTTATTTTGTCATCTTTCTTTGTGTGTGTGTGTGTGTGTGTGTACGTGTGGTGATTGGGACAGGGGGTGGCGGTGGCGGTGGGGATTATGGGAAGGCGGCTTATATGCTACCATGCCTTATCTGTCTGTCTGTGTGTAACCTCTTTTTTCGGTTTTTTTTTTCTGTTAAACTTTTTGTCATCTGCGGCTTTTGTGTGTGTATGCTGTGTATGTGTGTGAGAGAAAGAGAGAAAGAAAGAGGGTATATGTAGCTCATGTTCTTATTCCTTGAATCTGTGTATATGCATGTCATGAATCCTACGTATTAGGTGAAATGACATGTTATTTTTTTTATGGGCTTAGAGTACCAGCGGTACAATAGGGGTTTTCCCGCGAACACATACATATAAATACAGACTCTGCTACACTTTCATCCTTTTTTTTTGTAGTAAAAAATGAGAAAGTAGAGATCAAAGTTTTGCCAGCGAACCTCTCAATCCTTTCAGCTCGCTGCTAACCGCCTCGCGACTCTTCAGACTCAATGCTGCAGCCCTTTGTGCAAAACCTACCACATCTTGGATCTGCCTGCCCTGGCTAAGACCGTGGGCTAGGGATCCACAAAATGTATCTCCAATGCCATTTACACTAACTACTTCCTCGGGCGAGAGTACCTTCTCCACGGGGAATAGTCTCACATACAACCCTCCGACACTTGATTGCGCATTTGTCGCGCTGGGTGCACTATTGCGTGCAAGTACAAATTGGCGCTCAGCCTCGGAGTGTAGTTCAGGTGCGTCAGCAGTAAGAAGTTTGGTCATGAGGACGCCTTGGGGACCAAGTTTGGTCAGTATAGTGGGGAAGAAAGGAAGCAGCTTGATTGCTTGCTGAGGAATGCCTTGGTCGACTACATCACTACCTACGGTGACTGCGAGGGGTACTCGGAGGCCGCCGTTGGGAATACCCAATGCATCGATGACACTAAACCACTCAGAGCTGTCAAAGTAGCCGGATTGGTGTGCGTGGTCGTGCAGAGCACTGAGTTCGTACGTGTTTGGTGTTGTGATGTCTACGAGAGGGGCGGGGAAAACAGTTGGGGTAGCTGTTTGCGGAAAGATTCTCAGAGATTTGGCGGTAGAAACTGGCTCGAAAATAGTGGTTGTGTTTGCTTGATGGGCAGCTTGGAGCCAGATGTGCAAGGCGGCCGATGACCAGTTTGCATCGGCCACAAAAGCTTTGGGTGGAGTGGACAGTTTGTCGAACACGGTGTTGGCCAGCTGGCGAATGGTGTCGTCGGGTATGGTCTCCAGGATGGACATGTCTGCCATGGCCATGGCAAGATCCTTGTTGGTATTGTTAATTGCAACATATTGTGCTGTCCTGGAAGGTGCAGGTATCGTCTCAATACCAGAGACTGACATGCCTTCTTCTTGTAGTTGGCTGATGGCTGCGCGGCCACTTAGGTCGTCACCTACCGCGCTGTGCAATCGAACGGATGAACCAAGCAGATGAGAAGCTTTGGCAATATTGTGAGCTACGCCTCCAAGTGTCTGGGTAATAACAGCAGGGTTTGACGTATGTGGCAGTGGATCTATCTGACTGGCTGAAGGTGTTAAAGGAGCAAAATCACATGAAAAGTCTACAGCGAGAGCGCCTGCCACAACAATGTCGGCAGCTTGCTGTTGTTCGGACTGAAATGAGATACTGGTAGCAGGTGTGGAAGGAGGCTCAGAAGGCGATAGAGATGCATTGTGCAGCCGCTCTTGAGCGGTAGAGGCCGGACTGGACTGAACGGGTGTGAAGTAAGAAGAAGTACGTCTAGGATACTTACATCAGCGCCAGTCTACTATTGAGCTACCAGAGTGCTGGCTCACCCTTGGGCTTCTTGTTGCTTTGCTTCTAGGATGGCGAGTTCCCGTGCTACAATAGCTGCTCGCTTGACGTTGGATTCAATGAGCGCTCTGTTGGCAGGAATGCTCTTGCCCTTGGTAAGCTCCTTGATTTTTGCGAGTACAAAAGGCGTATTATCTTTGCCTGAGATGTTTGCGGCGTTGGCTTGTCGCAAGGCCTCTTCGATAACCACGTCCATTTCTTCCTTGGGTATAGCAAACTCTGTAGGAACAGGGTTGGCAAAAAGGAGGCCAGATGAGATTTGAAGGGTGTGTTGCGCATCTGATTGGCGTTAGAGAGGTTCGTCGAGAGATGATTGATACTTACGTATAACAGCAGCGGCTTCAATCTCGTCGGCAATAGTCACTGGGCTCTTGACTCCACTGTCTCTGGACCAGAAGGCAGGAAAGTCTACCTTCCCCGTGCGCCCGTCGGCAAAAGTACCCACGCCCACGCCCTCGGTTTCAAGGTACTCGATTGTTCGCGGTATGTCAAGGAAACTCTTGCAGCCACTGGAGACCACCGTGACTGGTGTTCTTCCAAGCTCCGTCAAATCGGCAGAGATGTCCATGCTCGACTCAGCGCCGCGGTGGACACCACCAAGACCGCCTGTTCCGAATATCTTGATACCAGCGAGGTGTGCTAGCAACATGGTGCCAGATATGGTGGTGCCTCCATTGAAAGACTTATTGGTGAGTCGCGTGCCGCATACATAGCCGAGGTCGCGACGTGAGAGCTTCAACGTATTTGCCTGTCCAGCAGAAGAAGCCAGTCTTATGAGCTCCTCCGGATCCAAGCCGACGCGTGCTACACCATCCAAAATGCCAATTGTGGCTGGGACGGCACCGTTGGTCCGGACTACACTTTCGAGGAGGGAGGCCAGCGCTACATTCTCAGGATATGGGAAGCCTGCACAGGCAATTAGCTCCTGTCACGTGCGTATATCCCATTGACATGCGCCCTCACCGTGTGTGTAGATGGTCGTCTCCAGGGCGACTACGGGCTTGTTTGAATTCAGCGCCTCTCGCACCTCGTCCGAAACACGGAAAAAGCCATTGTTGGTCAGGTGACGCCTCGCGGAAGCCCTGGCTATGGCAGCAGACGTAGAGGCTATGCGGGGCCGCCTAATTGAGGTTGCCAACAGGCGCATTGTGGTGTTGTCGAGGGGCGTTTGTGGAGGAGCCAGGCATGGAGGGGTGGTGGAGCTATGGGTGTTCACGCACAGACGCGGAGGTGCCAGCCAACTCCGAAGAGAACACGACGCAATAGCATAGCCGCGTGTGAGCCGCCGACAAACACCAACCTCACACATGACGAGATAGCTTGACAGCTATTCGCAATGAGGACCATCTCCCTCACAGGCTGCATAGCAGCTCTAGCAACTTTCGTCACCGCCGAATTAAACCTCTCCGAACCACTGCTGTCCAAGCAAGTGCTCCCCAGCACCTTCGCACCACCCCAGGTATTCAAGAATGCCAATCTAGTTCGCACTACCAATCTCGACAAGGCCTACCCCAGGGAGACGGTCAATGTCATTATTCAAAACATTGATGCAAAGGCGCAGTCGGAATACTATCTTCCCTTCGACTCTACCCTGCTGTCAAAGGTCGGCGGGCTCGAGGTGAGGGACAAGAAGGCGGCTGAGAAGGGCACCTTCAAGGTTGATGTTGTTGGCTTTGATGCGGAAAGGTGTGTATAGATTGCGTAGTGGGCATGCATAGCACCGCGACTAACAAGAACAGTTCGGTTGAATACTACAAGATCCACCTCCCCGAACCTCTCGCACCCAACGCCCAGCAAACACTCAGCATTTCCTACTCAATTCTCTCCTCCCTCAAGCCGGTCCCCGCACAGCTCCCCCAGACAGCGAAGCAGTACCTGCAATATGATTTTAGCGCATACGCACCCTCCGCCTACTTGACCGAGAAGCAGCGCACGAAGGTCAAGTTCCCCAACAACGATGTGCCAGATTTCACCACTCTCCCTGCCGAGCTCAATGACGAGAACAAGGCCGACCCACAGAAGCAGGGCTCCACCTTTACATATGGAGTTTACAAAAATGTGCCAGCTGGCGCTCAGCAGCCTATAAGCGTGCGCTACGAATTCACAAAGCCCGTGACGCACGCCACACGCCTGGAGCGCGATGTCGAAGTCTCGCATTGGGGCGGCAACTTGGCTTTTGAGGAGAGGTACTGGCTCGAGAATCAGGGCGCTGCGCTCAAGAACCACTTTTCGCGCGTCGAGTGGCAGAGGCAATCTTACATGAACCCACCTACTTTTGCTGTCAAGGGTCTTGTCCTTCCTCTGGCCCCTGGATCTGTCGACCCCTACTTCACCGACGACATCGGTAACGTCTCTACCTCCAGGTTCCGCCCTGGCAGCAAGGAGGCTTTGTTGGAGTTGAAGCCCAGGTACCCCATCTTCGGAACCTGGAAGTACAGTTTCCGTGTTGGTTGGAACGCCGATCTGTCATCATACCTGCGCAAGCTCTCGACTGGCGATACATATGTGCTCAAGGTTCCTTTCCTCGAGGGCCCCCGTGCTGCTGAGGGTATTTCTTACGGTCGCGTCAACCTCCGCATCATCCTCCCTGAGGGCGCTACCAATGTCAAGTTTTCGACCACTGTTCCCATTGTAGCCGACGAGGTCACGCTGCACAAGACCTTTATGGATACTTTGGGCCGCACTGCGCTGACTTTGACGTCTATTAACTTGGTAGATGAGTTCAGGGACCGCGATATCATTGTCACTTATGACTATCCCTGGACTGCGGGATACAGGAAGCCTGTTGTCATCACTCTGGGCATGTTTGCTATATTTACCGTTACTTGGGTATTGGGCAGCATCGATACCAGCATTGGCAAGAAGAAGACGGCGTAAAGGAGTTAAAAATAGAAGAAGAAGAAGAAGAAGAAGAAGAAGAAGAGGCATTTGTGTACGAGCATGTGCAATGTTATGATATGAGGAGGAAAAGAAAATATGTAGGATCGAAGCACTGGGGTATAGCTTCGAGCGCGGTTCAGTACTGTTAGAAAGTGAGCGTATGTCGCAATGTTTTTTGTCATCATGTAACAAGAATCAATACCGGAGTTCAATGTCATCAATTAAGAAGCATCAAGCACTGATTTCTTGTACATGATTTACACTGGCCATATGTACAAAGCAGTCTCACGAGCCATTGTCACTGACCACCCATCACTGACGATTCCAATCGTATACACCAAGAACAAGAAACAAGGAGAAACAACAAGACAAAAAAAAACTCCTCTCCTCAACCCCTCAAAAAGGATCTGCCCTTCCCTTAACCCGATGAACATGCCTACACACAACCCTAACCCCCTCCTCACCCCCTCTCCTCCCAACCTCCCACTTAACAAACTGCGCAATCCGCTCCGCAATCGCCACACTCCGATGCGTCCCTGCATGACAACAAACACTCATACTAACCTCCATGGCTCCGCCCTCACTCCCAAACCGCAATAACAACTCGCTAACCGCCGTCTGCACCGCCTTCTGTGCGGCTACATCTTGCATGACGATATCCTGGATTAGAGGCGCAATGCCTGAGTAGCGGGCGCACAGGAAAGGCGAGGGTGGCTGCATGTTGCGTGCGTCGATGGTGTAGAGGTGGCGGATTGGCGGGGTGCGGTGGGGGACTTGGGATGCGAGGAGGGTGGTGGCGGCGGATTCGGTGCGTGTGATGTCGGTGGAGTAGGAGATTATGTAGATTGTTGGCCGGGATGGGGGGAGTGTAGGTGTGGTGTTGTATGGTTGTTGTTGTTGGTGGTAGTGATGGTGCTGATGGTGCTGCTGGTAGGTGTTGTGGTTGTATGGGGGCGATGGGTAGGGCGGTCTTGATGTGTGGCCTTCGCGTTTTTGGGGTAAGGGAGTGGGCTGACGGTATAGAGCTGGTCGTTCGTTTCTCTCTCGTTCTTCTAGTCGTTGCTGTTGCATGTCTTGTTGTCTTTGTTCGATGGCTATCTTGACTGTGCTTTGCCGCGAATCAGGCAGGTCGAAGTGCACGTGTTTGATTGCCGCCTTTTTGGGATCGTTCTTGTGTGATGGGTGGCTGTACTGCGGTATTCGCGCCGGGCTGGTGTGCGTCCGAGTGCCTGTTTGTATGGGTCGGAAGGAAGTGTTTGGTGGTGGAAAGGATGCTTCGAAGTAGGTGTGGTGGCGACGGGGCTCTACGTAGTGAGGCCCAGACATGTAACTTTTGCCGTAGGGCTGATCTGTGATACTGTGAAGATAGTATAAAAGGTTGGAAGTAAGGATGTGAAGTTTGTGGAAGGGCAGGAGTGTATCGATGTGTTGTCGCTACTGCCTCGCTTTTCTGCTATTTTCCTGAGTGAAGTTAGACCACCTTTTGATATTATGATGTTCATAATGAGAAAACCATCGTTAAACCAAAAGCAATACTTTGGTATAAAGTAGATTTGTTTGTTTGCTTTTATGAGTACTCGAGATAGGCCGACGGTAGCATATTGCGATCAAAATTCCGTACGATAGTGCTTCTGGACAAGTTGATAGGCAGCCTTAGCTCGCCGATTCACAGTCGTACAAGTGACAGGGCATGGTCACTCTCTCCCCATGGAGCGTCCCAGAGGAAGATTGCACATATTGTAGCCAAGTGTTGCAAATGGGTGCTGAAATTCCAACATGAGTTATTGAAATTGGATTTACAGCTCTAGAGAATTTAGGGACGTCAAAAAAACGATGCGGAGGATGTATGGTGAAGATAGAATAGACTTGTAGAAGAGATCGGGAGTGACAGATGGTGGATGCAGGAAAAATTTTGAACTGAGGAAAGAGCAATAGTGGTGAAGTGAGAGCAAAGTACACTTGAAATTGGCCTTGAATAGTACAGCGGCAATGTGGTTCATTTCATTAGTCTACATTACACTTCCATTCATATGCTAGTATAACAGACATTTAAATGATGTAAAATCTCTAGTCTTATATCTTGCTTTCATCAGCTTTGCCCAATACTCCCGATATGTGAAAGCATTCAAGTTTCTACTCATGGATTACAATCTTCAAGTCACACAAGCATTGCAGCAACAACAGTGTCAAGATCTGGAAAGCAATGGATTAACGTTGATAGGAGCCACTTTTTTGTCTTTCGATTTTGACAAAAATTCTTACACTCTACAACACGGACTACTCACTAATACCAGGCAGCTTAGACGCTGATCAAGCTTTCATGACGAGCGTCATTACAGTGGGCCCTGTCAAGACCACCGCTGCACGACATTTGACTCGTTGCGCCATTCTATTCAAAGCTCACCTACCGAGCCATCTGGCCCATCCATGAGAGCAAGGAGTGACCTGGACGCATTCTCAAGCATACCCGGCGGATTATCCATATGCGTCTATGTCGCTTGCGTTGGGCATCATTCGGATCCATTCTGGCATTGCTGTCGCTGATCCCGTTGGCAACATGGTCCATACGCTTCCAGGGTAATGCGGTAAAAGAAGAGTCGGGGTGAGCTCCGAACATAGCATATAACTTGGTGCATGTATACTTTCAGGGCTTCAGGATACTTGCAACCGCTCTGGGTTGGGCGGCGATGTTGTGTGGTGTTGTACTCGGGTCTTGTCTAGACGACCTCGCAGACCGCTCCAAGTCGAACCCCCTCCAGATACCCTGGCAATATGCTTAAGGATCAAGCATTGGTTTGCAAGATTGGAGCTCAGCATCTTTCCAGCGTCCGATAAGCCCGTGCGCTACCCCAAAACAGTGGGTATACCAACTTGTCGTGCGTCAAAGTGGATCTGACATTTTGACGCCTGTCGTCGTTAACGCAAAGACCCACCAACATGCTTACCTAGTGCTTCAGCGATCCCCACGACATCCAACGTCTCGTTCTGTGGGGCAGGCGCAACATCCGCAGGCAGACATGGTGATGCTCCGGCCATCCGGAAATGCCGTCTATTTGTACGACACAAAGGACCGATGAGGAGATCTGACTTGCGTTTGGCGAACGGTCTCTATGGGAGGGGAAATGGTGGACCAGTGCACCCGAAACCAAGATATATTGGATAGCCCTGGGGGCACGTCCAGAACTCCCGTTGTAATTGAACTGCTGACAACAAGATGAGACTATGATTGGACGACCTCCAAGGTTGCTGACGAACACGACGTGACTATTTGGACTCAATTCCATCTCTTGCACTATTGATGGACACCGGCTGGAGGTTGCAGGACATGTGCCGAAAGATGGTGTTTAAAGGGCCGAATGTATCATCCTTGTGGAATATCGATCCTTTCGGGGTGCTTGTTGCGACGGTTGCTACCGGCCCGTTAAATTGGGCAAATAGAAGCAATCCATGGAGCTCTTGGATTGGAGTCGTACCCCCGTGCCGAAATGTGGGAGGAAAAGGGATCATGACACGAAATTGGGGTAAGCACAGACGAGACCGAACGCGTGAAAGAACACATTCAGAACATTCTACTACCCAATCTAATCATGTGCCAACCCTGACACTGAATCTATCAGAGTTTCGAAGTCCGAAATACCAAGGCCATCACCGTCTCCTCCTATCGCGACACGAGGCACCGACCACACCGACAACCAAGCGTATATCCACCCCATACCCCAGTTGCCCAATATATGTGCGTGTGTATATGTACATCTCGGAACATAGAATCGGACGAACGTGTCACGGATTGCATGGCAACAGGCGGTCACAGATAAGAACGTATCGAGAAACCAACAAAAAAAGGGCCGACCTTCCTGGAAGCATCTCCGACTGTACATGCAGTATCTCATCCAAGACAGCGTTTAATCTTAGATGCATTGTGCGCGTCTTTACATTCCATCTTTCTCCGACATCTAGTGTTGCTAGGATTGCTGATCTTGCCAATGCTGTCGTCGTCGTAATCTCGGCTGGAGATGCTACACTGTGGATTTATCTCGTGCGGGAGGTGCCTCTAGCCGATGCTACAAAGTCCATCCTGATCGGTAAGGGAGTACAATGCTCGATTGGCGAAGACGGGGAACGCGCGGAAGGCCGCGGCAGAGGACCGCAGCATGTTTTGTGGCTTGCCTTGTTCGGCCGACAAACGCTGGGCATGGTTTCGAGATGTTATTCGACGACTGGCAACGTGATTGTGACTGCATAGTGTACAACAGGTCTTAGTGCCATGCCGGAAAGGCTGAGGTGTGCGTGTGTGTGTTGATGGTGGGGTCTAGACGTTCATTCAATCCGCCGCATGCGTACGTATGAGGCTGTCATCTACCCCAACCATGCAACATTGGTGGTGGCCCGCATCAACGGCGACGCGCCCCGCGCCTCACTTTCCCCGAATCTAAGCTTCCAACGTCGATGTCGATGGGTTAAACTTTCTCTTTCGATCTTGGGAGCGCACCGGCTTGCTTCTTACGAGTAGTGTCCAAATGGAGATGGAGATCGTGACGACAAGTTCTCTCGGGTTGCCGCACGTTTGATTGTGGGAGTCGATGCGATGGCGGGAGGCATGATTCCGAGTCTGTGAGGCCAGACATGCCTAGAGTGGCTGTGAAACTCATTGGCCATCGCGAACACGAAGCGAATTAGCGAAAACCTCGTGAGTAATGTATAAGTATATGTATCCACTTTTGTCGCAGAAAGCATGTCCAGGAATAGCGTAGGCTGAACAATGATCTTACTTACACAACATGGTTTGATGTGCAAGTCGTCATTCTTAGCCTAGTGGGCCATTAGCAGCAACGATTTTACATGATGATAACTTTATGATTTTCGCAAATGCTATGTTTTCGCACCAGTGACCAGTTGTTCGCACAAGAAGACGCATTCAAGTCGGCGTTCAATGTGAAAAGGCCCCAGAATTGATCTGCGTTCCGTGTGCCCAACAGGGGCACCAGCTCATGAGCATCTGCGGAGTATACTCCGCAATGTCTGAGTGAAAGCCCCTCCCCTCTTCCCGCCATTGTCCACGACACGTTTGAACGCTGCCCAACGCTCGCCGTTCTGGTTTAGGTTGCTGCGGTTGGCGCGTTACTGTGCCACAATCCAGGTTTATTAGATCAAAGATTGGAAGGGAACAAGCGTCCGTCGTCCACTGCCACCCGTGTTATGCCGGAAATCTTATTTTTGTACATAGATAGTATGCGCACGTTTTTTTGCAAAAAACGATAACCCGGAATGCATGCTCTTGCAGCCGATTCGAGTCAGTTGAAACGGCATGTTTTTGCGAGTGGGAAGCCGACGCCATATCCCTTATCTCGGCATTAGATCTCCGGCCCTCGTAGCATGATCTACGCGACTAACAGGGTGCATTTCGGAGTAATCCAAGGCTGACTGTTTAGTACTCTAAACTCTGAAGCAGATGACTTTGCTCGGACAGGTCACCAATGGGACCTAGCGGACCCCAGCTGAATCGCCATTACTCGTACGAGTGTTGGGCTTACCGTATACTGAACGTAGCTTTTGTTAAGACCGCCTTCGCCCAGCCTCATCGAGTAAGTATTGGCCGCAAAGACGTCACGCGTCGCAACGACGCCCGCGTTTCAATAGTGGATAATATCACCACGTCTCCAGGGTCCAAAGCTATGCGCTCACCGGAGAGGACTGTTGCGCTATTCTACCAATGACATGGCGTCGGAGAGAGGTCCGACCAGCCCATGAACAACAGGAACAAGGGCTGCTGGCAATAATTGACCGACCAAACTGGCCGCCATCCGCCCACCTGATTGTACGCGGCTTTGTCTTGGTTTGCACATTGTCGCAACACTCGGGTTGCCGCGTTCGGATGGCGCAAGAGTGTGATTTGATGTCGGGCATGGGTCGGGTTGCCGGATTGCATATGATGTGTGGTTTTCACTTTGGCTGGCATGCAAGTGGGGCACGGTATACCGAAATAATCACGGTTCGCGACGGTTTAGACGCGGCTGGCTGGAAACAGTAGCAGAACGCATGTACGGGATAGACCGCCAGCCGCGGCTGTCACATTTGCGGTGTGCTGGTGTTGTTCTTCGTTTTTGGGCTTTCCCAGTGCGGCTGGAGGTCGCTAAGAGCAGTCCAGCAACTTACTACTAAGACGTAGAGGGGGCGGAGAAATGAAGGGTGGAAGGGGAGGGGACACCAAAGATTGGAGCGCCTTGGCGATGCGGCGGGGAAATCTCCGGCGGGATGCGATGGGCCAGACATGTGGAACGAGATGGGGGCACTTGATTGGCTGCACATGTCGCTAAGCCCTACACATCTACGCATGTATTTCGTACGCACATCAAGACCGGCTCACAGAGCAACAGAGATGTAAGTAGTGTGCAGAAAAAGCTCGTAGTGAAAAGGCATCACGGAACCTTTTCCATGCACGTCTGCATGTTGCGCATCAAGTAGCCCATGGGCATGCGAGGGAGCCTCTAGTGCACTCTGTTCGCCAATGACAACTTTGTCAGGTACTTGCGTTGTAACATGTCCGTACACATGTACATTTACGCATCGGCACAGGTACACACTACGTGCGGCAAAACCTGCGCAGGTATACAGAGTATAATTTCTTTTTTGTCGACATTGCAGATGCGTCATGCTTTGTCAGCAAGGCCAGGTACTCGAAGCGAGAGCACTCTTGGTGGCGAGTACGGTTGAGAATCGGCCCTCGTGTTCCTTTGCGGCGCCGTACTGCATCCTCATTGTAGACATGAAGAATAGTAATCACGGCAAAAACAAAGCCATCAATACAAGGATCGCTGTATACATGCGGCGCACGATAAGGTAAGTGGGCGTTTTCAACAGCAGGGATGTGCCAACTCACCGATCATGGAGATATTGTGTGGTGAGATTAGTGCGTAATCATGTCACCTCACGTTACATGAGTCCCTGTAGAGCAAGACAGAGATGCGAGCGCATCAAACGCCTACTATCCGGATAGTCGGCATCTTTTCTTGGGTGCCACCGCATCACGTGTCGTGGGGCGGTGGCACAAGAAAGAAAAAGTAACTATATGAACTAGACCAGGCGGAACGGCTGAGGCGCTGGTTACACAAAGTGAGAAGGAAGAAAAAAGTTGTCCAAAATGTCGCCCAGCCATGTGGTCGGAGGGTGTTACCGTACATGGCCGTTCCGAAGGGCCCCACAGGAACGCTGGCCGAGAAATAATACTGCTGATGCGCGCGCAAAACATGGGTGTTTTTGGCAAGGGACCTGTGTAACAAGGTGTACGGCGCGACAGACGAAAAAAAGCAAACACCGAAGGATCTAGGTGGCAGCGAATGGGTGAGAGAAAGCGGAGAAGCGTACCGCCCTCCATTGATAGGCGAGCCTGCGTGAACGGTGTGTGAGGGTCTTTGAGATCTGAGGAAAAGCATTCACGTACGTAGCGAAAAAGAAATCGGAAGGATGCGCAACGCAAAATCGGTGAAGAGGAATACAATGGTTGGTAGGTGTAGATCTGACACGACCAAATCCCATCAACTCGAACACCTGTCTGTCGAATCAGACAACTAACTAGAGCTCTGCCGGCGGCACGCCTTGTGCTTCGTCTTGCTCATGCGTAGATCTAGACCCCACATCTTGCAGCACCCGTACACACTAGCCCCCGTCTAGTCTGATCGGTGAGAAAGCTGCAACTGCGGTAGTCTCCAATCCTCAGGGCATGTCCATTGTCGCAATCGGCACGCTTTCTCCTGACAGGCGGGATATGGAAATCAGGACCCAGAATAGAGGATGAGATCCAAAAAGAAAAGAAGAATAGAACAGAACGTTAGGGTTACCTTGAACGGTAACAGACAGATCATCCACCCAGGCTTTATAAGACTATTGAACAATTGATTGACTCTCCGGCAAAACAGACAGAGATGAAAATGACTAGAAATGCATACGAATTATGTCAACGCTAGCCACCCGATGATGATGATGAAGTTGTTATCCTTGCTACGTGCGCATACGTCTGGTTGCATGTACAGTCATGGCCGCCGATTGTGGGGAATATCGAGAAAAAAAAGAATCCAAAAAAAAAATTAACAGAAAGCAATGCGCCAGGGCCAAAAGATGCAGGTCATTATGCACGATTCCAGATCTGTGTCGGACCAGATCGTCCGTGACGGATGGCGACAAGATCCGAAGAGGGAGGGTGTGCGCGCATGCGTCGGCGCATGCGGGTGTCGCTCCATACGGCAGGATATAGGTACGGGATCAAGTTTGGGAACCCGCCACCATATGTTGCTTTTTTTTCTTTGTTGCTCTACACCTGACATCACTCCAGACCCTGTTGCCGCTGAACATTCCTGAGGATTTCGAGGTCCATGCGTAGGATGGGCGAGTTTGGCGCAACGTCTTCAATGACGTTAATGGTGCGCTTAAATAGGGCGGAGAGTGTGGATTTGGTGAGCCAGGTATCGCTTGGGAGAAGAGGATAGAGTTTGGACTTGTACACTGAGGCGAGGACAAGCATGTTTCCGAATTGTCTATGCTGCGTTAGTGAGGCTGTAGAGAAGATCAGAAGAGCCATAGACTTACGCGTGAAGT